CATACTTTAAGTTCCCATGAACCAAGAGCTGATTGATGCCCAGTTTAACATAAGCACCATTTTATGAGAGTTACCATAGTGATCAGGTTCCAGTTATCAGCTTGAACAATTTAATATATGATTAATGTTAATTGCCCATTTTGCATGGATGACTTCTTCCTGGTTGCTGAATTGGTTGCTGCTGCCTTTGATCTAGTTGGAAATTCAATCCAGTGCAATAGTTAGGCAAGTGATCTGTTTGCCAGCACAGAAAAGATAGATTCAGGTTGCTGTGAGGTCAGAGTTTGTTTCTCTTCATAAACACTGGAAGGTCAGGTAGAGTTTAGCTACCACTGGCATCCTTGAAATGTTGTAATAAATGTCAGACCTAAGAGATTATTATTAATCCACACAGCAATTGGAAGTCTTACTGTTCTGGCAAAATAAAGAGATTCTTATTTAATATAACATGGACATCGAAACTCAGAGCAGCACTCTCATCGTCAGGTAAACAACACCTTCAAAGCTAATGTCAGTTTTGGTTTTCTGGCTTCTAATGTACGCTAAACAGTGACACATTCAGGGACCATCTCAAGGGATTTTAAATATCAGTGATAACTCTGAAAAGTAAATCCCAGGTCATTGGTAATGGCTTTCACTTCAGGAATTCAATTGCAGTGGTTTTTACAAGGTGCTGCTAATACCACCCTTAACTACCACTATATTCTCAGCAATTTTCACAGACTGTCCTGGGATGTTATAAATGTTTCCTTAAGAAGTAGGAAGACAAGCTTTCATTGAAGGGATGACATAACCTGTGATTCCTTATTAAATCAAGGACTGCTCATATGATTTATATTAAATATCTTTAAGGCTTATGACATCATTAATTAATTAACTGGATTTTTTCTTTGAAACAACAAAAATCACTCATCTTACTCAGTTGCTTACTCCTTGATTCATAAATAGCTGATGACATGAAATAAAAATAAATTCAACAGTCAAATTGAATAATCTTAATGAACGATGTATGAGCTACTTTGTCTATTGCTCAATTTGGAATAGATATATCACAGAATGTATCTTATCTTATTGACACTAGAAGACCTGCTGAAATTCTCTCTTAGGGAATTGCCAACTTTACAAATTTGTAAACTTCAAGGTAATTCTCTGATGGTAATCCACTTCAACTGAAGAAATATGAAGTACTGTTAATATACATTTTAATTTGGTTTATTCTTCAATCTCAGGAATCTGGGTGAGTATTTCATTTCTTCTAAAGAAGTTTACAAAATGAAGGGGAAATCATTTGAAGATAAATTATGTTAAAGGATGACCTGGGCCCAGAGAAATTATGATTATTTGGTGTAATGTCCCTTTAAATAACCTATAAATATTACACTTAATGTGAATTCTATAAAGTTGAATCTCTCCAAGTTTTAGCTGAGCTATTTAATAAGTTTGACTATTTTATGGGGTTGTTTGCCTTGTACCATAACAACTTTCCTTTACAGTGCACATGAGTGATATATCGGCAGAGCCCTTTGGATGGGAACTTTGTAAAAAGGCTTGTTTTATTTTACAGACTTCAAATAACCTTGTAATTAAACTGAAAACAAATAATTGCCAAGAAACAATTATCATTCAATTAAAGAGTAATTACATGGTTATTCGTGCCCTGTAAAATAAAGCATTACTAAGATCAGTAATGCAATCAACATTTTAGTAGAAGCAGGATGCTAAAATGATGGACCTTTCAACCTATGCTGATTAAATTGTCATCCAAATAACAGTTACCTAGTTAAACCACCACATGTTTATTTGCCTTGATTAATTTGTGAATATCTGCCTGATGCTAATACAGCTCTTAAAGATAAGAAGTATGGCAATATCATATATCAAGAAAGATCCTTCCCAACTTTTTACAGAGTCCTCCACAATCTTTCATCATGTTGTCAGGCTCGTGTTCTTTAAAATGAAATGCAAGAATGTCTAGGAATGTCTTACTATGGAGAATCAGTAGGTGTAATAGTCAGAATAAAGCTATCTTATATTTGTATGTAGGTATATTGACTATAAAGCACTTTCACAAACTTCATTCCAATTAATTTACTCTCTGAGCCCAAGTCTTTGTTCCAAAATTAAAAATAAAGAAATCTGAATGTGATATTTGATGACTGATAAATGTAAACAACTTTGGAAGCAGGTATCTCACAACCATACTCACTAAAGGGTCAATCAGAAATTTTAAATAACAGGGCAAACACACATCTCTATAACTAGATCACAAGCTCCTGAAAGGCAAAACCTGTTCTAGGTTCTCACAATATATCAATTAAAAAAATAAAACCAAAATCTTTGCCCTCGTTGAGGTTACATTTTACCCTCTGTGTCACTGATACCTAGCATTATACTACACACACGCTTAATAGGTACCTAGTGCATGTTTGTTTAGTAGACGACTGAATAAGTGATATCGTTACTGCATATGTGTGACTGCAGGGGCCTTTATTCCTTAAGCAGATCTTGAAGCTTGTAGGGCTTCTAAGTGAATAAGACAATGGGATCTATCCATAGCCTTCTTTACCGTTGTACACAGATTTGAGGTGATCATGTTTTGAAGCTGCTATAGTTATTGTGAAGCTCAATATTTAAAAAATATTATATTATGAATAAATGAAATTGGCACTCTGTTCTTGTGGTCAAAGAGACCAGAGTAATTGAAGGAATATTTGGAAACTGTACAAACAGTGAAAGATTGTTTTCTATGTATATTAATTAATTGATTTAATTAACTTTTTGCTGGACTTTACTTTCTACTAGAAACCATGAGAATTGTTCAGGATACAGTAACAAACAAAATCAGACATATATGCTGTCTTCATGGAGCTTAGATTCTAGTTGGGGAGACTCACAATTAATCAGACCAACAGCATAAAATTATGAACTGAGATGAAAGTTAGGATGGAGAATATGGTCCTCCTGGAGTTTATAACATACAGAATAGATAGTACCAAGCCATTTGTGAAATAAACTGTGAAACCATTTGTTTTTCAAATCTTCACATTTAAGGTAGAACTACTAGACTAAGAGGCCTCTAATGCTTCCCAAGCCTGGGTCAGATTATTGGAAGAGAGTTGCTTCAGATAGAGAGAACTGACCCAGAAATTTGGAACAGAACTAGTTAAACCTTATGGCTTTCAAAGTGTACTGTTAACTGCTGGCAGTCATATGACTCATGACGTGGAAGTAGAGGGAGCATCAGGCTGCTTAGTTCTGGAGGCAGCCTGTCTGAAACTGTTCATGAGAATGAGATAGCACTGAGATGTTTACAGCGGAAAAATACAAATAATAATCAGGTGTGTTTAAATAAAGTTAGTAGGCTTGAGTTCTGACAAATAGAAGGAAACAAAAAAGTATTTAGAAAGTATAAATTTGATGTTTATTCAATAACATAATGTGCCTTTCTCTGATGCTTGGATATACTCCGATGAACATTTTTCAGTGATATTGGGATCCTTTAGGACATTTGAAATACATAGGATATTTCTGCTTTCAGCATTCCTTAAAAGAGTCAGAAAGCCATAAAATAGGGCAAAGGCAAACACGTTAAAAAACTGAATTAAAGAAAATAAATTATGGCCCAGAATCAAGTAGAAAGAAGCAGAGGAGAGTCCATTTATAAAAATGAAACATTAAATGAGAAAAACAGAATCTTTTGTGCTAGATTGATATATAATATTGATGTACAATGGAAGAAAATAACACTAGCACAGTGTATGAAAAATGAACTGGGTAATGATACCTCCGTGTAAGGTTGCTAGAAGTTGTTTTTCATTTAAAAGCAGAGTTTGTCTTACATTGATGGAGCATTTTGCTATTGCAAAGTTGATAGAGTGAGGTTTAACTTAAATTTCTTTGTAAACCAAAAGTCATTTTGGGGTATGTTCTCTATCTGAACCTCATACATTTTTGCTGCTGAAGTTATTTAATATAGTATTTTGTAGTATTTTGTCAAAACTCGTATCATTCAGCTTTGTAAACTGCATTTCTACTAAAAGGCAACAGCAATATCTTAGGCAACATTAGAAAGTAATATTTGAAATATATTGGGTGACTCGAGAATAACTTGATCCTAATGTTCTATGACTTACAAGTCTCTTCATGTAGTGACAGCTTTAAAATGATATTTTCAGTACCCTAACTCTATTACGGTACAAGATGGAGGCAACAGATACTGACTGTTTATTTCATTATGTTATGAATTAGCATTTGCAATTACAGTTTCTGAACTGTTCATGGGTGAAGAATCTACAAATGCAATGGGTTAGGTTAATGTTATAAGTTTATTATCAACTCATTAGTTAAAAACACCAATCAATCCAAGAGAAAAGACAGCCTAGATTGCAAAGATGGCAGGTTTTGTTAGTGTAGCCACTCCAAGAGAGAGAGAACTGCTTGTTATACAGCTTGGTTTAAAAACTACATAGGAAAACAAAACCTACTGAGGGTGGTAACCCTTTTTTCCTCATGGGCTCCCAGCAGCTGTGGAAATGCTAATAAACATCAGCTTTTATTCTGCATCTCTCAGCTCTTTACCATTCACCTCTGGCATGCTGGGCAGAGACTTAATCACTTCACATTCTATGTAATCTTAATTCTGTGAGTCACTATCTCAGATCTGAGAAGCATTTATTAATACTTCAGATCAAGTGTAGCTTTAAAAGCAGGGGTAACTCAGGGTTTCTCACACAACAGGTAAGCTGTGTTGCAAAGTGCTGGCCTGTAAATGGAATCTAGACTAAAATTGATGCCTTATGGTACTGATGTTTGCCATAACAATAGTGGGGAATTTAGTGGAAAGTAAAGAATAGGTCTCTTAGTAATCCACGACAATAGTCTTTAATGTAAAATTCTATCACTTTTGGCAATTAAACAAGATTTAAAAGGTAAATGCTGCAAGTGATGGTATTCTCAAAAAGAGTACATTTTTTAACCTTATCTATATTTGTCTGTTTTTCAACAGTTCAAGACCTGGCAGGCCCCCTAAGCGTTCTTTGGGAGTGTTGCAGGAAAATGCCCGCCTTCTACCCCATGCAGTCCCAGGCCTCTTATCGCCAGGACTTATCACTCCGACAGGTAATAAAATCCATCTGATGATCAGCCATGTCTCTTCGTACTGCCCAGCATTTGAAATAAACCAATGTTGATCTAACTGCCTTGTCCTTCAGAGCTTTTGAAGCTCTATTAGAGGTTACATTATTGAATTTTTAAAGTGTTCATGAAAACAAGTTTTGTTACTTGAGCGACAAATCAAATGGATGTGATTTTAAAAATTGTCATATCCTTGCAGAAAATCCCTTTCAAGGCCTTATTGTTTGTATGTGTGTATATGTTTCTGTGCTACGGACAGGAATGGAGGCACTGGCCAAAACAGCATCATCTTGAAACCTCCCATAGGGGGCAGCACTCCTGCAAATTAGGTCTCAGTAATATTCTTTTAGTTTCCAGGGGTTCTGGGCATCCATGCATGTTGTCCAAGTTATTACTCTAGGTTAAAAAGTAGACCTAAAATGCATCCTTGGTATAGGAGCCTTATGATTAGAGAAGAAGGTGCAGGTGGCCATTGTCCTGAACGATGTCTTAGTGTCTTTCATTGAACACTGTGAAAAACTGGTAAAATTCCAGTGTCATAAATTAGCATTGAACTTTGTTGAGTCTCTAAAAAAGTACATAAGAGTACACAAAAACATTTAAAAATAAGCTTAACATTTCTATAATTGAATCTTTAAAATCATGAAAGCTATTATAACATAGAAAATGAATTTAATAACAATGATATCTTTATATACAAAGATATGAACATTTATAAAGTGTCTGTTGTGTTCTAGGTACTCATTTCTAGGCATTGTAAAAACATATGAGTAGTGGTCCTTGCCACACTAGAATTGGGGAGAAAGGAATGTAAATTAATAATTGCATTAAAGTGTGATAGAGGCCAAAATACAAGCACATACAAGGTTCTATAATATCGCATAAGTGGAAGCAGTTAAATCAATTTGGCAAGTTGGGTAATACTCAATAAGATGGAAACATTGGAGCTGTATTTTGTAGGCTGAGCATTGGACGGATGGAGAATCAGTGGAAGAACATTCCAAGCAGATAGAAAAGTACAGATGGATGAGAAAAAGCCTAGCGTGTTATGGGGAGTAGTAGTTAAGTTGAAGAGACTGGAGCAGAGCTTTAAGGTAGAAGGCTTATAGGTGATGTGGTTGGAATAGAAAGGGAGGGAAAGGTCAGCTTTGTGAACCCAGTTTTTGATTTACCATGTTAAGCAATTTAAGTTTTTCCCTTTAAACCAGTGGTTTCCAGAGTGTCTTTCAGGACTTTCCTTACTGACTGACATAGAAGTCAGGAAGTACTTCCATGCTCCACAATTCTACCTCAGTTAGAATTTTATATGTTCTCCTTCACGTATGATTTTGTTTTATTTTATTCTTAAAGAAACTTCTATAGGTAAAAGGAGCCCTTGCTAAGGAACTGAGTAAATGATCTGAAAACAGTTGCCTGGAGGGTAGATAGCAGTGAAGGTAATGAAATGAAGGAATATCAGTTGCTACTGTTCAAAGGAGAAATACTGAGGGCTTGAAGGCAACTTCAATAGAATGGAGAAAAGGTTCTGAGTGCTTCAGTAATTAGAGTTAATCACACTTGATAGTTGATTAAATGTAGAGGCTAAGGTGGTGGTCTAGGATGATTCGTGTCTAGCTTGGATGACAGGCTGGATGATGGTATAATTAACTCAGATCGAGAACTTGGGAAGACACTCAGGCTTTGAGGGGGAAGATAATGAATTTTCTACTTTAAATATTTATAAACAAATTCTGATATAAGAGAGTAGCCCTGTACATATAAATGAAGATAGAAGGGATAACAGCATCTGAAATATATCTTGGTATTCAATGAATGACCATCTATTTCTTGCCTCCTGAAATACATTCCTAGAGCCTAGAAAGAGTACTATGTAAATAATCAAATCTGTGTCCTGGTTTTGTGGGAATGTACAGATGAAAGAAGAAAAGGATTTTAAAATTGCCTTGAAGCTAAATCATTTTGAGTAAACATTAGTAGGGTATTTGTTGAGGAAAAGCTCTAATAATATATTAAGTTCTTTTTATGTACTAGCCATGGGTGCCAAGTGTTTTATATACACTTCATTTAATCTTCATAGTAGCCTTATGGACAATGACTTCATTTTTAAAGTAAACAATCTATGGCTCAGCGAGTTTAAATTATTTGCTTAAGGTCACAAAGCAAGTGAGTGGCAGAACTGAGTTTCTGTTTTTAAATTTTATTTAGTTTAATTAATTTATTTTTGCTTGTACATGTTGTTTCATCACCCAGGTATTAAGCTCATTACCCAATAGTAATGTTTTCTGCTCCTCTCCCTCCTCCTGCCCCTTCTCAAGTAGACCCCAGAATCTGTTGTTCCTTTCTTTGTGTTCATAAATTCTTATCATTTAGCTCCCACTTATAAGTGAGAACATGTGGTATTTGGTTTTCTATTCCTGTATTAGTTTGCTAAGGATAATAGTCTTCAGCTCCATCCATGTTCCTACAAAAGACATGATGTCTTTTTTATGGCTGCATAGTATTCCAAGGTGTATATATACCACATTTTCTTTTTTCAATCTGTTGTTGATGGGCATTTAGGTTGATTCTGTGTCTTTGCTATCGTGAATAGTGCTGAAATGAGCATTCACGTGCATGTTTATCATATAAGGATATGTTTTCCTCAGGGTATATATACCCAGTGATAGAATTGCTGGGTGGTAGTTCTGCTTTTAACTCTTTGGGGAATTGCCATACTGCTTTTGACAATGGTTGAACTAATTTACACTCCCACCAACAATGTATAAGTGTTCCCTTTTCTCTGCAAATTCATCAGCATGTTTTTTTGACTTTTCAGTAATAGCCATTCTGATTGGTGAGAGATGGTATTTCATTGTGGTTTTGATTTACCACAAATCAAATGATCACAAAATCTAATGATACCACAAAATGTAATGATCAGTGATATTTAGCTTTTCTTCATATGCTTGTTGGCTGCATGTATGTCTCCTTTTGTAAAGTGTCTGCTCGTGTGCTTTGCCTTTTTTTTTTTTTTTAGATGGAGTCTTGCTCTGTTGCCCAGGCTGGAGTGCAGTGGTGCAATCTTGGCTCACTGCAACCTCCACCTCCTGGGCTCACGCCATTCTCCTGCCTCAACCTCCTGAGTAGCTGGTACTACAAGCACCTGCCACCATGCCTAGCTAATTTTTTGTATTTTTAGTGTAGACGGGGTTTCAGTGTGTTAGCCAAGATTGTCTCAATCTCCTGACCTCGTAATCTGCCCGCCTCAGCCTCCCGAAATGCTGGGATTATGGTTGTGAGCCACCGTGCCTGGCACTTTGCCCACTTTTTAATGGGGTTGTTTGTTTTTCTCTGATAAATTTGTTCAAGTTTCTTATAGATGCTGGATACTAGACCTTTGTCAGGTGCATAGTTTGCAAATGTTTTTGTTTTTGTTTTCCATTGTGTAGGTTGTCTGTTCACTCTGTTGATAGTTTTCTTTTGCTGTCTTTAGTTCTATTTATGTGATTAATCACATCTGTTGATTTGAATATGTTGAACCAACCTCACATCCCAAGGATGAAGCCTACTTGATCTTGGTAGTTTATCTTTTTGATGTGCTTCTGAATTCAACTTGCAAGTGTTTTGTTCTGGATTTTTTCATCAATGTTCATGAAGGGTATTGGCCCGAAGTTTTCTTTTGTGGTGACTCTTACAGGCTTTAGTATCAAAGTGATCATGGCCTCACAGAATGAGTTAGGGAGGAGTCCCTCCTCTTTAATTTTTTGGAATAGCTTCAGTAGGAATAATACCAGCTCTTCTTTATACATGTGGTAAAATTTAGCTATGAATCCAACAGGTCCCAGGTTTGTTTTAGTTGGGAGGCTATTTATTATGGATTCAATTTTGGAGTGTGTTATTGGTCTGTTCAGAGAGTCATTTTCTTCCTGGCTCAGTCTTTGTAGGGTGTGTATATCCAGGAATTTATCCATCTCTTGTAGGTTTTTAAATTTTGTGTGTAGAGGTGTTCATAGTAGTTTCTGATGGTTGTTTGGATTTCTATGGTGTCCGTAATAACATTCCCTTCATCATCTCTAATTGTGTTTATTTGGATCTTCTCTGTTTTTTCCTTATTAGTCTAGCTAGTGGCCTATATATTTTATTAAATTTTTCCAAAAAAACCTCCTGGATTTGTTTATCTTTCGAATTTTGTTGCTGCTGCTGCTGTTGTTGTTGTTTCTCAATTACCTTGAGTTCATCTCTGATTTTTGTTATTTCCTCTCTTCTGCTAGCCTTGGGCTTGATTTGTTCCTGCTTCTCTAATTATATCAGTTGTGAAGTTAGGTCGTTAATTTGAGATCTTTCTAAGATTTTTATGTTTACATTTAACGGTATGAATTTTCCTCTTAATACTGCCTTAGCTTTGTCCCAGAGATTTTGGTGTGTTGAGTCTTTGTTCTCATTATTTTCAAAGTACTTTTTGATTTCTGCCTTAATTTCATTATTTACCCAAAAGTCATTCAGGTGCATGTTGATTAATTCCCATGTAATTGTATGATTTTGAACCATTTTCATAGTCTTCACTTCTGTTTTTATTGTGCTGTGGTCCAAGAGTGTGTTTTGTATGATTTTGTTTCTTTAAAAACTTGGTGAGGATTGTTTTATGTCCAATTATGTGGTTGATTTTAAAGTATGTGCCATGTGGTAGTGAGAAAAATGTATATTCTTTTGTTTTTTGGGTGGAGAGTTATGTAAAGTTCTATCAGACCCAGTTGGTCTAATGTTGAATTAAGGTCTTGAATATATTTGTTCATTTTCTGCCTCAATGATTTGCCTATTACTTTCATTGGAGGGTTGAAGTCTCTCACTATTAGTATGTGGGAGTCTATGTCTCTTTGTAGGTCACCAAGAACTTGCTTTATGAATCTGGGTGCTTCTGGGTTGAATGCATATATATTTAGGATAGCCAGGTCTTCTTGTTGAATTGAACACTTTACCACTATGTAATGCCCCTTCTTAAAAATATT